TACGTGATTTTTCCACTGTCAATTTAATCTAGCCGCAATTTCGGACGCGCGCGGCAATAAACATCAATCTCAATCCGACCCCCTCTCTCAGCGCGAGTTTAATCAAACGCTAACCAGCGCGCGCAAGATTTAATCTGTAACCCCCGTACTCCGATTCGTGATATACTTTCGCTTACGTGCGGCAAGCGATTCTAAATTTCCAAGCTTAATGTAATCACAACATCGAGGGGTGGGCTATGTCGTACATTACATTCACTTGGGATACACTTCGGATGTACTTAAAAGAGTATGTGCATTGGCGGCTCGGTGAGTTTTAGCTTCATGATGACTTTTTCATCTGTACTGTATTATACCTACATGATAAAATTATTATAAACCGTCCACTGATTGAGTGAATCGTAAAAGACATCCACTGAGCAGAGAGGTGTTTCGCTTAAAATGAATTTACTAAAGTTATGAAAACTAACTTAAGTGATGATGTTGCTGGGATGTTGCCTTTATTTTTTGAAAACGATATATATCGGGTCGTTATAAATGGAATGATATTGCAGACATGTGGAAACACGTATGAAAAAGCGAAACAAGATGCAGCTTAATCATCTAACTTCAACAAAAGGGTGAACAATCGGTAGCAACCGTGCAGGGAATAGTAAGGTGAGAAAATAAAGATCGTATTCGCGTATTGTTCTTTGCCGATTAAATTCTATCCTCCTGCAAATGTAACAAAAGCGAGGGAAATCAAACCAGCAATCTTGTGCGACAAATAGCAAGGTGTGAAAACGCAGAACTTTTCTTTACTTATGCACGTGGAAAAGCGTCCTGCGACCAAAATGCATATACTTAGTCGGAGTTTTAGCAGCGTTTCATATACAGTGTGCACCCTATGATTTGGCAGAGCGAGAGAGAGAGAGAGAGAGAAAAGTATAAGCGGCCAGTGCGATGACACGTTGTGCATTGTTCGCCCTTCATTCTTCTTTTGTCTGTCGATGCGTGGAAAAGTATAAGCGTTTTGATAATGCACAGCCAGCCGTCTGTCGCAGCACGCTGCTATGTCATCGATGCCATTGGTATAGTTTCCTGCGAAAGGTCTTTCATTTTCCCTCTCCCGCGCCAAGAGTTCGCTACTGCGAAATTGCACACGGCGACACATCACTTTATTTCAGGGCAGATCCAGCAAGAGACCAAAAAGTCCTCGTGTGCGTCAAAATTATAGTAGTTTTTCCTTCTCTAAGCGACGCGCAGTTTTGCTCGTGCCAATGTCGTCGTGCGAGTGCTTAGTCTTTTTCTTTCTATTGGATAGCTCTGTAATTTAAAAATATGAGAGTCGGCAATAGTTTTATCGTGAAAAGCGATAAATCATCCAAATGTCAGTTTGTACAATCTCAAAAGTGGAAAAAGGCAAATGTTATATTCCACGAGATATCGTTACAAGCTTGCGTAATATTATCTCGTTGATTTTCCATAAAAATCAAATTATACCTTCGCTCCACTGTAATCTTCCGATATTGCGTTTCCCGACAGAGAGGCGTTTTTTTTCACCCTTTTTTTCATTATCCAAAACAGGTGAGCCGCACGCGTAATAATGAAATATCGGCGTTTTCAGCAAGAAAATGCTATGCTATAACACAATGCAACGTAATAAATGTTTCAATGCTAATAGGAAACGATAGATACTTGGCAATTTTCGCCAATCGATATATAGGTGGAACACGCGCGGCGCACAAGAGACAGAAAAGTAATAAATGGCTTGGAACAAAAAGGGGAAGAAGCTATGCCAGACGCCCGCATATACATATACATATACATAATACAAAATACTTGCAATGCAACTCTCTGTGAGGCACGTATAAAACGAGCTTTGCTATTACTTACCGATAAATCGAGCTAAATTTTCATGTTAAATATTTTATGGTTCAATCCAACGAAACATAGGCGAAAGAGGCACGTGTTTAAATTTCGCATACAGCCATGAATCTTGCAAGTGCTTGGTAATGTCAAGCATTTCCCATGTTGTCAGATTTTACACGTGAATCGTTAACTGCGTAAGAGCTGTTTTACAGGCGCTATGCTGAAAATGTTGAAAAACTGCATCTCATTGATCAGCAGCGATGAAAAATTATTCACATTAGAAAAATCTCGAAATCATCGCGTTTGTCGGCACGTAACCCACAGACGTTGCACATCTTGCCGGAGCCAGGCGCAGCTGATGATGATGAGAGTCACGAGAGACAAAGACAGAAGGAAACGCGCAACCTGTATTTGTTCGGCAGCGAGCTGTCACTTCTGACTAATCTCGCAACGAGCGGTAGGCGGTTTTCGGCACGTCGGCGGGACACGAAAATTTGGGACCTGCAAAAGAGCCAGCGAGGCTCCGATCTTATCGCTTGCGATGGATAATTATCAAGCCAGAGCCACACAGACGCCAACTGTGATGTTCATTTTGTCGTTCCTTGGATGGGAAAAAAGAAAAGTCGAGCGCGTTTCTCATTTGTCAAGAATTTCTATGACCGTCTTGGAAAAGTTCAATTTCAGAGAATTGAGCACAAATTGCAACTACTTACGTTGTGTCTACTGAGATATTTGTAAGATATGTATTATGTATGTATATATATAATACTTGTGTCATTTTCTATGATTTAAAATTTCTGAAATCTGTGCATTAAAACAATAAACCACTAATCCGTTTCTACAATAGTGAAATAAATAAATAAGCATATAATCAAATTCAAAAATAAAACAATTGAATTCTTTAAACATTACTTTATGTTTCTGTCACAAAAATATAATATGAAACTTTTAGCGAAGCGCATTCTATCTGCGTATAAAGAAACAAATTAAAAATAAATAAATACTATAACATATTGATGTGTATGAAAACGTCGGAAATGAAGCATCTCTAAGCACAAAACCTTCAATTATCAGACCTAATTTTCCATGCTATCTGACAAGTATCAAACGAAGAACAGGTGTAAGCTTTCTAGCCGAACGCGGCAATCCGAATCGAATTTGGTATTCAAAACGTCATCCCTTGCACATCTTTCAATCAAAATAACGAAATAAAAACAAAAACCATCGCGAAGATCGAAAGAGAGAGAAATCAAGGCTCACTCTCTCGAGCGTTCGATTTAATTCCAGTAATCTACGCGTCAAAGCGGCTCCTGCGAACTTTAAGCTGAGGCCTCGTAAAGATGGATAGAACGGTCTTCGATTTCACGTGAGAGCAGCAGCAGTACACCGAATAATAACACACGTGCCTCCCGTGTAATCCCGATTCCGCAGCAAAAAACGAAAAGAAAATCCGAGTGAGCACGGAAAAACCAAAAGGGACTCGATAATTACTACCGGGAGTCGCGTGGAGGTGGCCGATTTACCCTCCCGCAACGAGCAAACGCGCAATTATTCTTCGCCGTGCTCTCTTCTTCTGAGTTCTGAGATCGGTCCGATTCTTTTACTCTCTGCATCTGCGTTTTATTCTGGCGCCGATTGGTCCGCTCCTGCAACCGGTAATGCCTTGATTCGCGTGTACCACGCTTCTCGTGTTACTTATTCGCCGCGGCTTTGCATGCAAATTTCATTTCACGCTATCCGATTTCTTCACGATACTGTAAAAATTTATTCTATCAAAGAGAAAAGGTCAAAGCTGAAATCACCTACCTTCAAAGTACGACGAAACACAGTACAATGCGCTTCACTTAGACTTTTATTTACTATGCCAAAGAGAAAAAAGTCGGATAAACATAGAAACGAGGCGAAGTATTTGCGTCATGAATGGTTGTGTCGATCCCTTAGAATTAGTAGGGCTATTCACGTCGATCGGGTTCAAGAGGTTATTTTCGTAGACCTTCGAAGCCTTTTATTTTCGCGGGACTTTGTATCGTCGTCACGGACGAGCGAATGAGGTCGCGAATGAACGTCAATGCGGCAAACGACGATGCAAGTTTACGTGCGCTTTTGTAGCAGTACTTTGTCGCGCGATCAAACGTCTTTTATTGAAATTCAATTGATACGCCGGCTGATAACTATAAATTCGCCGACAACCAAAACTTTCTCTGTTTCAAATTAAATGAACAATGATTCTAGTTATTTAAGGAGACGTAATAGCTAGCCATGTTTATTTGAAATTTAAAGTAGCATTTCAATTATTTCATCAGTTGTGCAGACTTTTTTTTTAACAATTGATTCCTTCAAATTTAAACTTGAAGCCTCGAGCGAAACTCATTCTCTGTTGTGAAATCTTATGGAATATTGTCGATATGATCGATCACAATTCACAGCAAGTAGAGGCGATCAATTTTTTTAACAGATATAATTGAATATCACATGATAGTGGAGAAAAAAATATCGCTACTATAACCATCATCAATTCGAATTTGACGTTGTATAAGTGGATTATGTACCAATCACTGAATTTAATTTCTTCCCGGGCAGTATATCGATATAAAACATAGTCAGCGGAAGTAAACGTTAAACCGAAAGACGTTGTAATGACATTTAACACTATTGTCGTAATATGGCGTCACAGCAAGTCCATGCATATTAAATCAAACACGATTCAACTCTCGCACTCGCGTTCGATAAACAAGGCTTTGCAGAACGTCCTAGTCACCGCGCCCACGCCGCTTTAACGGTACGTCGGATGGAGATAATAAAAAAAATCGCGACGATGAAAAGAAAAGAAGGACGCGCAAAGCGAAAGTTAAACTAAGAAATACCGCCTACACACACACTCACAGATCTTTATCTGCTGCGAGCTTTAAGCTATTAGCTAAGATCGCGTCGAAAATACTCATTCAGTATTCGCCAATCGATTATGTGCGCGACGTTACGTTGTAAGACAATGAAATCGTAAATTACGCTGTACGTTCGTGCGTTAAAGTATGCCCTTTATTTGGCGTTTAAATGATGTGCATAGTGATGAAGGATGCTATGTTAGAAAGGAACGTACGATTGTAAATGTGTCGATGAATTATAGCCTATGGTATAATTGATTAATGATGTTCGCATAATAACTAAACATTGCACTTTCTGGAATGTATTTCGAACGTATCTTTTCAATAATAATATAATTATACAAATAATCACAAAATCGATCCTTATTGGAGATATAAAAATTAATAAATTACGTAATGCTTTAATATTGATTGATTGATTTTATCATGCTTATTTACACTGTTCTTTAAAAAAACTTAAATTTCATATTCACATATGAAAAGATATTCATTCACCAAAAATGAAAGTATTGACATAATTACACATTTTTAACACCCATCATCTTTCCATAATAAAATTATCAACTGTATGCAAGTCAAATAGTGATTTCCCCTTCCTCAATTGCAGCGATTACCTCGAATAAATTTTTAACAGGTTTGCCATGCAAGTCACTAACTCTAAACTTCTTAGATTCTTTCTGGTCGTCGTCCTCGTCGTCATAGGGTTCACGAGGTCTTTTATACTCTATCTCGAAAGAGTCTTCACTTTCATCGGAAATAGTTTCAAAATGAGAATCACAAGAGGAAGTGCTATTTCCTCTTTCCAAAGTTTGTTGAGTACTTTTATAAACAGCTTCATGCGATTTGTCGGAATATTGAAATAAGCTATGAAAACTTTGATAAAAGGAAATATGTGATTCGTCTTGGCACTGAATGGGTGAATAATCCATTTCCCAATTCCTAAAGATTGACAATGCAAAAGGTTTGGGCGTCGAGTTTCTGTTGCAAGTGTTTTTCCTTGGAGGTGCTCTAGAAACGAATTTTGTCAAGGTTTCTTGTCTATCTTGATCAGGATGTGCTTCGATTGTGGACTTGAAAGATGAATGGATTCCTTTGAAAATGTTGGTAAACATCGCAATTCCTGACTTATAAACCTTTGCAAATGGTACCTATTACAAATTAATTGATTGTAGTATAAATTTACCAACAAGATTCAATTATTCAATTACCAGTCCAAATTATCGAAACTTACTGAGTTATCGTTGAAAACTAGAATATCAAAGCCAATGAATAATTATAGCGAATCACTTGCTAAGAATCAGTACGTGGAGACACCCGAACCTTCCGACGGTTCGGTATAACAACACTCACTTGTCCGTCAAAAGTTTCTTTCGTGTTTACGTATACTGTGTGGAGAAACAAATTATAACCGTGCAGTTTTTAAGAGTTGAAGATCCAATCGTCGAGCTTAAATGCTTGAATACATCAATTAGATTTAATCTGTTTAACTTGACATAAATTTAGGGAGTGACAGCTAATCCTGTAACTTACTAATCCAGGGCGTCTTTAGCGATAGCTTTATAACTTTCTAAAGATGCGTGAAATAACAGTCTTGTAAATAAAGATGGAAGGTAATGATTCGCGTAAACTTACATTAATTGTTGATAAGTATAGTCTATTGCATTAAAAAAATGTATAAATAAATTTTATCATTTAAAAGCGATTAAAACAAAATCATGTGGAAGAATTCATGTGTGTAGGGAACAACAATGATTTTATTTATCTCTCTTTATCTCGGAGTTTCTCACAAACATGTTTCAAATAACCAACGACGATATTACATTTGTTAATAGTACACGTGGAAAATATATGAACGGATTAAAAAATAAGAAAAGTATAGATTTGCAACAATAGTCGAAACTAGCTATTACTTGATAATTGAAACCCGACATCGTATACAGTTTGTACAGGATTTTCAAACGCGTGAAATATATGCTCGGTACAAAACACTTGTCATTATCATATTAATTAACTAACCGAACCGTAGAAAAGTCATTGAGCGGGCAAAGCATCGATCTCGTCACCTTTTTCAATCGTCGACATCAACACGCGCGACAGCATATCGATAATGTAATAGCGAATGGAGCAAGCACTAAAGTATCGCTTATGAATGAATGAGCTGTGGTGGCCTCCCGTAGCGATACAGAGCCGGCCAATGTTAGTAATGACAGAGCGATGACTGGGCCTTGTGCACGCGCGAGCAAGGAGACTAATGCCCGTCACGCACCTGCAGCTTATCAGCCGAGTTATCTCTCTTGGATGACGTCTACACGTCCTCGTGGTCGTCGTGGGTGGTAAAGAACGCGTCGTTTATTTATCATTCGTATTATCAACTCTCTGTGCGATGACTGCCTGCCGAATCATCGTGTAGCATAGTGGTGAATCTCAGCGGGATGGCGTGAAGTTTCGCGCCTCTGATGGAATGTTATATTATATCGCCTGCTGTGCCGCGCGCTGCTGCGCGGGTTATTGTGTTGACCAAATAACCGATTGTACCGTATAGATTAAGTATACGAGTGAACTCACGCCCTACCCATACTTTTTTCTTTACTAATTGGTTGTCAATGGGAGCGAGGTTTGACTTCAATACAATGAATGTACGCGCCGATATCATCAATATACTCCTTTATTATGATTAATTTTTATGTTTATCGAGCTATGAATAATTGAATTTTTTCGAAGAAATGCTCTCGTATTCGAGGTTGTTTTTATAAGAATCTTTGAGCCATGATGGACTCATCGTGATATGAGTGCAATCATTATGTGATTTTCAATGGATTTCAATTTTAGAATTGTCGAATTGTATAATAAGCTTAGAACGCGAAGAAGTTGGACTTGTTAAACCTATAAATGCATACTTTTGCGAGTTAATGTATTTATAGATTTGACAGTGAGAGAATAAACACCTAAAATTCAAATGTTCGTAACTAGTGCACTTGCTCGGTAAAAAATGTAGAGTAATATATATCGCACTACAAACAGTTCTGTTAGTTCAATTAGTTTCCAGCACGCCAGTATAATACAAATCAACATATCATCATCGCCATCCGGCGTTGACAACGCAATGGAGCTTTGTACATGACATTTACAATTCAGACAGTAAATACACTTCAATAGGATTTCTCTTCTTACGCGTATTAAAATAGCTTGGGTGCACTTGTATACGCTACAACGAAGCATGCCTTCTTCGTTTCTAAGCAATGACACCTACGGACAAGTTTACCATATGGAAATATTATTCGCGAATCGTATCGCCGAGCTACAGCGATGAAAGTGAAACATCACAGAACAGCTCTTTGTAATTCAACTCTATATCAACAGAGCAGACAGTTTTGGGAATTCAAGATTTGTTTCATGAAACACCTTCTGCATGTTATGTCTATCCATTATAACTGGTAAATATTACAGTAACGTTCTTTCGTCACGTATTACAATTAAATTGATTTTGGAATTTGGAAAACTATAATTTATTGTCATACGTGAAAGAAATTTGGATCGTATTGATATTTAATGCTGTTTTCTTTATCGTTTCCTAATCGATATGGCGTGCTAGTAATTAGTCAAAATATTGTCATTATATCACATGAATAATTGCGGAAAAATGGAGAGTTCAATATCATTACTATCATTTATATTGTTCATTTTCCTTCAATCAATCATTGGAGAGACAAATAATGAACGGCCACTCAGAAATACAGAGTTGAAAAGTTTAGTTAAACCATCTAATCTAATATAAAGAAATAACACGAAGAAAAAATCTTTACAAATCGATCCATTCGTCAGCTTAAGGTATCATATCGCAGTATCATTTTATTTCCGAGACAATTTATAGTTCCGGCAAATGTAAACAGTGTTCAATATGAATAGCAACCTCGAAAAAAAAACAATCATGAAGTAATAAAAGCTCGTCTCATAGCCTCTGCTCATCAAGAGCAGCATCAAGCGAGACAGGTCTCGTCTGCGCGCAAATGAAACAATAAAAGCGGAAAAGCATCAAGATATCAGTCTCTTTCCTCTCACTCGCTCTCTCTCTCTCTCTCTCTCTCTCTCTCTCTCTCTCTCTCTCTCTCTCTCTCTCTCTCTCTTTCTCTCTCGATCCAGCAATAAACCAGTCTCCTAGGGGCGAAGTGCGTCGCGGCATACATTAAAAGCTCTCTGCACGCACTTTCGCTGTGGCTCTCTCGTCGACTATAGGTATACGTACAGCAGGGCGTGGCCGGGCGAGAGAGAGAGAGAGAGAGAGAGAGAGAGAGACGCAAGCCGAGCGAGCGCGCGACGTCCATTTGTCTCGGCAGCCTCCCGCACCAGAAACACGCCCTCGCAGCATCGATCACGTCTTTCGCGGCGGCGCAATGCCACGGATTTCCTTCTTTTTGCTCGGTGCTCTTCTTGGCCCATCGAGCTTTTTTATTTCTTTTTCTTCCACTTCTGTTACCAGGTTGTGTTTCCTTGAGATCGTGGGATTTTTGTAGCGAAGTCGTGACAGGGAACTTTTTGCGAGGTGTTTGAAAAGCTTTCTTTTTATTTATTTTTTGTTTCGTTGGGCACCGAAGGCTTGCTTTGCGTTTTAGTTTTCCTCGCGAAATTAAAAACGACGATGTTTTACTTTATATACGATTAGACTCGTTACTGACGTATTCGAAGACTGAACAGTTTGTAAAAATAAACGTATCTTGTGCGATGTAAATAATAAGTATTATTTTATTTTGCAGCCGGTAAGTTCATGCAGTTTTCGTCACATTTCCAGCCGTTACTCTAAACTCGTAAGTACTCTGTACGGTAGACATTATCGAATTTATTTACTTTTCTGAAATACCCATGTGGAAATCGTCAACGAGTAAAATGATTATTTACAGTTGTAATAATTTGCACGAAAATCATGAAAATCGCTATGTAACCGTCAAGAATATCTCTCGTTAAGTACTCAAGTAAAGCACGTTCCCGGTGCACTTTTCAACGGTCTAACGCGCAGCTTTCGCCAAGCGTCGTATATTCTTGCTTTTTGTCGCTTATTTAAAAAGGCAGAGCATGTACGATTAGGCGTCTCGAGTTGTTAGGCGGCGGCAGCGCGTTGTAGTAGAAGATCGCTTTATCTCCGCGAGTTTCGCGCTGCTCTGTGTCGTTTTGCGCTTAACTATGCAGAACGTAAGCTATACTTTCCACGCTGCTCAACATGCCAGGTTCGTATCTTTTGGCGGCTGTGCATATTCATACTACTAGGTTGATGCACAGCCTGATTCTAATATCGATGGTACGGGAACTTTGTGAAATTCTTTGAAAATTAAATTGCACCGAGGATTCCCGCATTACAACATCGAAATTATAAAAATACATTGGTATATTAACTAAAAGCTGAAAAATTTGAACGACTGTATGTAAACGGGTACTCTCGCGAAAGCAAACGGAATCTGATGAGAAAAAAAATGGGCAAAAACACACACCGTGGCGCAGTTTCGGTGTAAATTTATGCATCCACAGTTTTCGCACGGCAGAGCTCGCATACGCACACACGCACGTAGCTTACGCGCTATAGAGTAGATGCAATCGATATGAACGCATCGTTGCATACGCATAAACGGCATTCGCCGGCTAACAGCATACGCATACTTCTATATCTGATCGACGCACGGCTGCGTTGTTGTTTCTTTCGACTTTTTCTTTTTTTCTTGAGAACTTCCTCGCGCGCGAAAAATCTCGTTTGCCTTGGTGGATTTGTAATCGGCTGTGGCCAAAAGTATAATTAAAGGCGATATCGGATTGCTTGCGTGAGAGATTCTCAGCTTTCCGAGTCGACTGCTTGGCTGGCAAGTTCTCGAGTGCAATCAATCAAGCCACCGATAAGTTGGAACGGTAGCTTTGCGATCTTGATCGCGAATTTCGATTGGATTTCCAGCCGACGTGGATGAGCTCGGAAAACGAGGAAAATGTTCCAGTTGTCGACAGGACTAAGACGGCCGAATGACGCTTAGCGCTGGAACCATGCCTCGCCGTAATCGTGACGACGAGCGGGTGAATCGTGTCTTCGGCGCAATCGCAATCTACGAGCCGCCCATTATTTAGCAAAGTAAACACATTACCGATTTTTCATCGATCGCCACGCCTCGATTTCTCCAGAAAGAAGTCGCAGGTAATTCTAGGCATTACCAGGACGCTATCACTAGCACCTTGAAGCTCAATGAAAACGTAACGCCCCCCGAGGGTGTTTTTAACCGATAAAAAAGAAGCCTCGGTAAACTTTGGATCGAGCGATATTCGATTGAAAGCTCACTCTCCGGGCTTCCTTCTATTTTTTTTTTTTTTTTTTTTGCGTCTTCGTCGTTGTTGTACGAGAAAGACCTTAGTCGAGGTCGCTCGACACCGTCGGCAACCATTTGCTGGCCGGCAGCTGCAGTCGGCCAGCAGATAGGAATCTCTGCGCGCACCAGCTGTCTCCTCCCGCCAGCCATACCAACTATCTTATGTATGAGGGCTTATCGTTTTCCGACTCTGCCTGTTTTTCTTTGGCT